AAAAAGTAAAATAGGTCTCTTCTCTTCTTAAAATTAACTCTAAAAATAAAAAGTGTCCTCTTCCAGCTTTTCCATTTCTGCGTGGTGTGGTTCTTCCTAAGCACTGGTGAATGGTCCTCACTTCTGCCTTCTCCTTGCCTTTCATCGCAGACTTCCTTCCCTCCTCAGCATCCCTTCTAGCCCCGAGCCAGGTGCATGCTGATAGTCAAGACTCGGAGTCACCCTATTGCAGCGTGAGGCACAGAGGTAGCCCCGAGTCCTGCAGGTTATTGCATTTCTGCAGCCAATTTAAACAACTTATCCTTTGTAATTTGATATCAGAGTGGCTAAAGCATCTTGTTATTTCTGAACATTTGGGATCACCCTCCCTTTTGTGCTTTTTGTAAACTGAAGGCTTTTCTGATGACCTTGTAATCTTCCCCCATCCACGTGCACTGAATGGAAAACTGAACATTGCCCGTCTCACTCTGCAGAAGGATAAAGATGAGTTAAGCATTTTAATAAAATTGATATACTCCCATAAGCCCTGCGACATTTAAAGCCTTTCTGTACCAATGACAGTCACTTTGCCTGAGGCTTTCTAGGCAGGAAAGGCTTCCTATTTGTTAAAAAAACAAAAACAAACAAAAAAAACCCAATGAGCATTTTCACTTATTAAATGAACCACTGGAGATCAGTCCTGTTCAGGAGTTACTCTCTGATAGGTCATTGACATTTTGCAACCCGTAGCGTTTTAACTGGAGGCAGCTGCAAGCCACACAGGTCTTGCTGACATACGTCTCCTCCATTTGTTTAAACTTTCCCTTGGCTTGGTCACGGGTTCCTGGGGGACACGGAACAGCCACCCCTTGGGGAGAAAGCTGATTTTTGGGGACACATAGATACATAGTTAGACTGCCCCACAATTTGAGGTTTGTAGTGAGAGGAATAAGAAAGTTTTGAAAGGGAGAGAATGTTAGAATGAGACATTCTGCGAAGTCTAGCAGGGAGAGGAGACTGTAATCGTAGCAGCCTTGAGAAGGTGGGGGCTGTGGTAGTTGCAGCAGCTCCTACATAACCTGTAGTTATGCAAGCCAAAGGAATTTCCGTGGCATGCCAGGCATCTGGGTGCTCTGTGTCCACCCACGAGGAGCAGAGCTTGTGACCCTCAACTGGGCAGATGACCAGGAAGTAGAGGGAGCAACGTGTGATACGCATCCCCTTCTACCCAACCACATAGTTGATGTGCTGTCACTACATCAGCTTGGGAATGCAGTGAGTGACCCACAGGTCCCTTTTGTAGAAACTTCTGTACTGTGGGATGGAGTCTGTTTCTAAGCACAGAGCAGACTGGTTTTGCGATAGCTACGTAGAGGTTAAAGGAGACGGGTTCTCCAGTTGCTGTTGGACAGAGAGACCTGAGTCTGGAAACATGCCCATGTGTTCATCGAAAGAATTCAGCGGAAGAATGAGGACTCTTATTTTCTCCCCTGGCTGGCTGATGGGAGGCACGGACAGACTCAGTTTGAATCCTTGTTCTGCCACTCAATAGCCGTGTGACACTGGGTGGGTTACCTGCCCTGTTTCTTTATTGGTAAAATTGGGATTACAATGCTGGGGTGAGGGAGAGGTGCACCGACAGGGGCCATCCCAGTTCCCACATGTGATTCACGGGCTGCCACTGCTAAAGAGGACCCTCACCTCACTCGCCACCACGTTAAGTCCTACGAGGCCTGGCAAGTAGGAGATTCCCCAGCTTCCCAATGAGCATGGCTTCTTTGCTGGTTTGGAGGGAAGGGGCCCACCATCCTGTGTTCTGGGTCACTTCTGCGGTAACCTAGCATCTGTCACTAGTCTATGAATGAACAGGGAAATGTGTTCCCATGCACATGACTCTGGGTGTCTTGAATACCCAGGCAGCCCCTTCCCCCATCTCACCCCTGTGAGCCTCCAGCTCCGTCCTGGCTTTCCTCACACCCACAGGTGAGTCAGGTGCGTGCTCTTTGGCAGTTTCTGGGAGCTCAGAATTGAGGTACTAGATTGCCAGCTGTAGCATCACATAGTGGTGGTTCAGAAACTAGTCTTCCTGCTCACAAAGCTGCATTCCCCGCAGACTACGCCCACAGCCTGGACTATAGGCTGCAGGCCGGGCTGCTCCTTGTGGTGGCTGCCGAGAAGCGTGGTGGGCTGGAATAACGATAAATAAATGTACAGACTGTCCTTGCCCAGCACCTGGAGTTCTCTCTGCCACATTCCTTCATCCACTCCTGTTTTCTTTTCTTCTAGCATTCACTCATCCTTCTAATGCTTTCTGCTCAGCCAGAGTCTTTAGGGTTTTTTTTTTTTTTTTTGTCTTTTGTCTTTTTTCCGTGTCCGGCAACGGATCGCAACCCTCAGTGTTGCCCCCGCACCGGACCGGGGACCGGCAACGGGATTGCAACCCTCGGCGTTGCTCCCGCACCTCGCTCAACCAGTGAGCGGGAACTAGTCTGTATGTGGGATCCGAACCCTCGGGAGGGAGCGCCGCCGCGCTTCCCAAGCGGCGCACTATCCAGTGCGCCACCGGGCCGGCCCCAAGTCTTTAGGTTTTTTTCACACTACCCATTTTTTCCCCCAAATAAGCCATCCACCGTCTCCTCCCCTTCCTGCCTTTTCTCTCCAGGATGTAATTTGTTTTGTCCAATGTACCTGCCTCCGACAGCTCGGACAGCCCCTGACTCGTTCCTCCTGTCTGTACTGCTGCTTCTCACCCTGTCCTGGCTGGAGGGCACCGGTTATGTCACCATGTAGCAGAGTGTCCAAGGGCAGGGGGCAAGCTTGGGGCGTTCAGGCATCCTGAAGTGTGTTTCCCAGTGAGACCCCCTGATGGGCCTGGGAATCAGGTCTGAATCTCTGCCTGACATCAGCTGGCCCTCCTGTCTACTCAAAGACACCCAGCAGAGTTGGTGATGATCATGTATGAGGTTTATTTCCTTGAAGTGCAATGGAAAGAGCTGCTAAAATTCACCTCTAGTAAAGTAGTTCTTGAAGCTAACTTCTTATTTGTTTTCCTTCAATATCACCTTGTGTGTTATGTTTTTTCATACAGGTTGGTGAGTAGGAATTTTCAGTTTCAAATAAATCTCATTTTCTTTTTCAGTGCTCTGAAAATTAGTAGTACAAGGATGAATTATTCCTATCTCATAGGGTTATTATGATGCACTGAGAGTAGTGCTTCACATCATAAGCACTATAGAAGTGTTACTATTATTAGTGAATTTTGAAGTTAATGAGTACATAGATCACCTAGACACGCTCTCTCTCTCTTGCCCTTCCTGACTCCATTCACCTGTCTAAAACAGGGGACTGTATGTTGACCACACACCATTCCGTGGCTACCCATTGAGTGGCTCACTGAACATTGTAGATGGCATCCCTCCTACAGAAATTTCTTAAGAGATATTCCTTAGTCCTGCTCTCCTTTGATCCTTAACCAAAATGAGAACTCTGTATTTGCAGTCAGCTTAATCAGTTGTGGGAACCACAGCTCCCCAAGGTCAACAATAAAGCTTGCAATGTACATCCTTTTCCAAATACTGCTACGTCATTTGTACCTTATGCTATTTACATACATGCTGCTATAGAATTTGGAGGATCTCAAAGACTAAATGGTACTTTTTTTTTTTGTAGAACAAGGCTCAATTTATTTAAGGGGGGAAGAGTCCATTTAAAGAAAAATACGTAAATAGTACAGGCAGTTTGTGGATGTGACAAAATCATGAATGATTGATTTAATCCCTACAGTACTCAGGAGTGATCAGGTCGTTAGCCTACCTGTAAGTTTGTGATGTCTTGTACTTTCTCAAAGCATTTATACTTGTCCTTAAATACTTACTTGTATAATCTTTTGCATAATTCTGTCTCTTTCCTTTCTTTCTTTTTAATGTTGTAATAAAAGTATTTACTAAGGCCCAGAGAAGCCAGAGAGGTAAATCCTGGTGCCTAAGAAAAGATAGCTTTTGCTAATGGATTCAGTCCTGGAGATAAATGTATAAATGCGCTATTACAATCTCCTCTGGATGGTACTTTTAATCCTAGTGTCAGTTTCATCCCGGCTGGGGCCGTGGGAGACAGGGGCCTAGATCAGAGCACCACTGTCCTTCCTGCCTCATGCCTTCTTCTGGTCTCTTCAGAGCAGGTTGTGTGGAGCTCTAAAGGTCTGTACTTTAAAACCCACAGTGCTTTTTTCTCCTCTTAACTTCTGAAAGAAGGGCTAGACCAACACTGTCCAATAAAAATATAACATGACCCACATCTGTAGTTCAAATGTTCTAGTAGCCACATTAAAAAAAACAGGTGAAATTAATTTTAATAAAGTATTTAGCCCAATAATGCCAAAATATCATTTCAACACGTAATCAGTACAGAACAATTATTAGTGGGATATCTTATGTTCTTTTTATTAGACTAAGTCCGAAATCTGGTGTGTATTTTATACTTACAACACATCTCCATGTGAACTAGCCACATTTATCAGCACCACACTGTCCCAAGTGAGCCATGGGCCGTCCCTGAACTAGCCACATTTTGAGTCCTCAGTGGCCACGTGTGGAGAGTGGATCATGGGCAGTACAGGTCTTTCAACCAGCCTGGAGTCCTAAGACTTCAGCTCGGTTCTGTTGGGATCCATAGCCTCCATCCTTCTTCAGCCTGGGATTTATATGAAGTGACTAAAAGGAGATCATCCAGATTGGGGTCTTTTGTAAGACTTGATTTGCTCAGTCGATGCTTTAAGACACGTTCTACTCACATAAAGTCTTGGAGAAGGGCTCCCAGCAGGTGGACACAAGGCCTGAGCATCTGCAAACAGGATTAAGAAGACAAGTACTTCCACAATGCTGCATAGCCTTTAACCTTCTATTACCCAGAGCTGGCGGGGTTGGGAGGGTGAGGGAATTTCTCTATGGGTAGGGAAAATTAAGAAATAAATCAAGCAATAAATCAAGACTTTGTCTTTGTCTTTTCATTTAGTGGAATAGAAGATGAACTCAACTGAATTCAGTGAAGATGTAGAAGAAGGTAAAAAAAAAAAAACCTGTTTTAAAAAAAGTTTTAATTTAATATTTTTGATTAGGACACACATTCACATGGTTCAAAAATCAAAAGGTTTATAATGAAAAATCTCCCCCTACCCCTGGTTCCCATCCCCCTCTACCACAAACCTACACATACATATACAAACATCTAATGTATCTTTCCAGAATTCCTTTTTTATTTTTGATGGCTGGCCTATACAGGGATCCGAAACCTTGACCTTGATTATAACACCATGCTCTAATCCACTGAGCTAACCAGCCAGCCCCTCCAGAGTTACTTTTTAATAGCATAAAAAGATAATATTTATTTCTGTCCTTCCATCTCCTCCTCCTCCCCCTTCCCTCAAAAACTTTTAAACCAATTTTGAACGAAATGTTCTTGGAACATGGTTTTACTGTGTAGTATTAGTTCAGTAAAATAAAAATTGCATTGTTGCAAAGCACAGGTTTATTGTGACTAGACATCATTTTCTGAGTGATAGTGTCCAAGGGCGGCCTGCAAACACCCTGTCACTTAGAGAACCCTGCTGATCTCCAAGCCACCCTGGTCTTTCCTACTGAGCCCTGTTTCTTCTCTGCCACAGTTCTAAAAAATAACACTGTGAAAGTGGAGACAGAGGCTGAAGATGCTGCCCTGGACTGCTCAGTGAATCCCAGGACTTCTGAGAAGCACCCTCTGGACAGCATCTTCACTGCCCTGCAGGAGTCCAGCAAACGAAAGCAGCCGGGCAGTGATGGCCAGCCAGACTCTGTCCCCAATGTGAAGAGGAGGCGGCTGATACCCGAGGTGAGGGCCCAGCCCCTTCCACTCTTTGCTTGGGCTCTAACCCTCTGATTCAACGCTGAATCTCTCTCTACTCTGGGGCATCTGTGCAACTGCTAAACTCTTGGGCACAAGAAGGGTTTCATCTCAGCTCTCCATCTCTTTAGAAAGTGTCTTTAACTGGAATTCTTATTTATGCCTGGATTCCTTATGGGTAAGGGTCGTCTTCACGACGCAACTGCTTTTGCGTTCTTTGTTTTGTTATGCTCCACAAGGGAAAGCAAGAACCTGTTGCCAGCAAAAACTGTTAATATAAACCTGCTACCACTTTACAGAGTGGGCTGATTCCTGGAACAGTTGGGGGTTAGCAGGTCTTTTCCTAAATTAAATCCATCTTTTATATCTGTTAGGAGACCTTGTTCCCTAAAGAAACTCATCAGTGAATCTTTTTGTAAAGTGGGAATTCTTTCATATTGTACCCCATATGTTACCCCATAAGTTACCTATTTTATGAATTTGTTCTGTTTTTAATCACCTGCTGTGGTTATATTGAACCCAGCTAAATGCTGAGAAAGGTAGAAAATGGAAGTGGACATGGTGGCCTCCTACAGTCCAGGTGGGAAACAAGACATGTACATAAAAGAGTTAAGGGTGAGGAGGAGTGGCTTTGGGAGATGTGCTGGGTGTCTAGCCTGGAATGCCCCATCAGCAGAGCCTCCCCGTGGTCCAGCAGATATACCTTTAACTCTTTTTTTTTTTTTTTTTTTTTTTTTTTTTTCC